CCAAGAAGTTAGGCATTCCTCTAAGGACTTATCAAACCAGCTTGACCACAGCATCCTCTCAGCTGATGCATGCCAGTCCAGCAGCATCTGCTCCATCTTATTCTACAAGTGTTCCTAAAATTTCACCACTGTCCAAGAGCTACACTTCGAGAGTTGAAGGCTCTGCTTTCATCACTCTAACTTCATTTCCTTTGTAACTTGGAGCATTTTGGCTCTGTTTGCACACTCCGTTTCCCCCAAGAAAAAGAGGAAGCTTATCTTGCAGAAACGAGTAGAACTGTAAAAATCCAAGCGGTTTTTTTTTCCCAAATCCCTTTATGTTAAATCAATTGGAATAGTGAGATTGACAGTTCAAGCAAAACAGCAGCACTCCAGGAGCTCTGCAAACCTCACCTGAGCCTGACAAAAGGGCTCCGGCACAAGTGCCCGGAGGCTGCAGCACCGGCAGCGCGCCCTGCTCCAGGGAAAGCCGGGATGAGCCCCACGGCACGGGCAGGAGCCCCTGCGGCCCCCCGACCCACAGCCCGCGGGGAGGGCTCGGCGGGACCTCCCGGCCGGTTCCCGCCGCCCACGGCCACCCCAAGCGCCCTCCTGAGAGGCAAAGCCGCCCGCGCCAGCCGGCCCCGCCCGGGGGTGTCCGCCCGCGGCCCCCGCTATCTCCCGCTCACCTCGGGGGCGGCCCGCCCCGCCCGCCGCGGGCAGGGCCGAGCCCGTCCCGCACGGGAGAGCGGCGGGAGCCTCACAGTGCGGTGCCCCGGGAGCGGCGGAGGCCCCCGGCTGCCGCGGCCCCCGGCCCCGCCCGGCCCCTCACCCGGGCTCCCCCCCTCACCTTCCGCCATGTTGGCTCCGGCGCCGCAGCTCTCGCGAGAGCCGCCGCCCGCCCCAGCGCCACAGCGCGGGGGTCTCGCGAGAGCAGCGCAATAGCGCCGCCACCGGCCGCGCTGCTGGGACGGTCCCGCTCGTTTCGCGTTATCCCGCCTCGTTATCCCGCCTTCTCCTCGTTATCCCGCCTTCTCCCGTTATCCCGCCTTATCCCGCCTTCTTCGGCGTTATCCCGCCTTCTCTGCGTTATCCCGCCTTCTCCCGAGCTGTCCCGCCTCCTCGGAGTTATCCCGCCTTCGCCCGCGTTATGCTTTTTTCTCCCGCCTTCTCCCGCATTATCCCTCCTTCACCCGCCTTCTCCCGCTCTCCTCCCCGCCCCTCCGGCGGCACCGGCACGGCGCAGCCCCGGGACCGCGGCGGGAGCAGAGCGCGGCCGAGTGGAGCCGCCCCGGGATGCGCTTCCCGCTTGCAGGCGGTGCCCGGTGATCCCGGCCGGAGCGCTGGGCTGGCGGGGAACAGCGAGGCGGCGACTGGCACGGCTGGGGAACTGGAAAATACCGCCCAGCAGCGGGGAAATCGCCTCCGCTCACCTGCCCCAGGAGCGCCGTCCCGAGCCCCGAAAGCGCCTCCGGCCCGGCCAGGGCTGCAGGAGCCACGGCGAGGGGGCTCGGGCACGGGGGCTCCTCCCCACTGCAGGTCCTGCCTTTGTTTCGGAGCCAACAATCCTGGACACTGAATCTGTGCCCCCCGGACACTGGATTGGTGCCCGGTGGGTGAATGGTTGCATTCGGCAGGCAGTGACCGAGTACCGGGAACGGGATCATTTTCCCAGCCACGTGTACAACACAGCTGCCCCCTCGGCTGTTGTTGATCATCACCGCTCCTGCTTAGATGCAACTGAAATGCCAAATACTCCACGCTGGTCCAACAGCAAGTTTGTTGCTTGGAGGAGCAACTTTCAGGTAAACGTTTGAAGACTTTATGCACAGTACTGTTTTACAGACATAATTTTTTCTGGACTCCACCATGAAGTGACCTTTGAAAAGTTGCTCTGCATCATATTTATCTTGGTGTTGGATAAAACAGCAAATCCAGAGCTGGGCCTAGGAAGGCCACACAGTGTAGTTCTAGACATACCATGAAACAACCTGTCTCATTTTACACAGCTATGTATGACTCTGCTGTATAGCAAATTACCCAACAGCTCATGGTGCTATTGATCCTCTTGAGGAACTGTGAGGAACCAAGTTAATGCTCCCTGATCAGATTTAGTTTAATTTCACAGTAACAACAGGGATCAGATTTCAAACCACTGCTATGTTTTGCATCAAGGGAATTGTAATCTCCTCTGGGGATTTGCCAGGGCAGGAAGCTGTTGCAGGAGTCTCTCTAAACCCCATCCAGCTTCTGATTTGGTTTAGAATCCCTCGTGTTGCTGCTCTGTGTGCACTGATGGCACTGCACCAAGAGCAGTGCACCAGATGGTACAGACACAGTGGAGTCCACCCCACATCGGCCTCCCAAAGCCCAAAATACATTTCTAATCACTTCAGAATTCATGTGCTCTGCTTATTGATCATCTAGTTCCAAGAAGTGTTTTCAGGCACTGCAGCAGAAGGAATTTTAGAGTGATAATTGACAATCCTTCTGAGTTTTAGGGATCCTCTCCGGTGCAGCAGGGAGAAACAGAAAAAAGGAATTAAGATGGCTGCACTAGTTAGACATTCATTAGTATTTGATGCTTTTCCTTTTCCCCCAGTGATGCAGAGATATCTGGAATGCAGGGCAATGCCCTGTGTTGGGGCAAAAATCAGCTCAAACCCTCAGCCAGGATAACAAACCCCTAGAGAACCTACAGTGCAAACTGAGCACCCTGCAGGAACCAAACCAGATACAAAGTCTTGCTACAAGAAAAACTGAGGAATGCTGGTTTAGTTCCTTGTTCACCAAGAATCCTCACACTACTTGTCAATCCTGCAGCTCCTCAGTGCTGTTCCCATCTGGTTTTATCACTAACAGCTTTCCACCAGTGCCCCTTTCAGTGTGGGGCAGGAGCAAAGAGCCAAGTGTGAGCACAGCAAAGTGAAATAGGCCATTTCCTTGCCTGCCAAAGGCTTCCTACAACCTGGACACTTGGCACCAGAGCCTGAGCTGCCTCTTTCATTCAGTCACTGGGCATTAGCCATACCTGCAGCTTGTAGATCTTAGCAGTATCCCACGGTAATGCTCCTCCCTGGGGAGTATCTGGGTCAGGTGGGATCACAAACCATCTGGGCAAGCCAAATATATATTTGAATTTACAAGCAGGGCAATGAGCAGTGCTGTGGAATTCCCAGTTCTTCCATATCACAGAAGCAAGACAAACATTTCCTGAAGAACAAACAAGCAGCAATTCTGGAGAGCACAGACATAAAGCTTTGAACAACTTTGTGAATGTACAGGTGAGTCTGTGAGTACTGTGTGTGGTACTTTGGAAGACAAAACAGAGACCACTCTTGAACTTGCTGAAAGCAGCAAATACCTGAATTGCCTCAGTTCTAGATACACTGTGGAAATTGAAAAGGAAGGTCAGCCTGTGGGGGAGTAAGTCCATTGGTAGGTTTAATAAGATCAGCTTTTTTCCAGTCTTTTTTTTTAATGGAAAGAATGACACCATGCCACTGAAATTCTGCACAGTCCCAACTTTAGGTGGAAGAGGGCAGTCAGCTGGTGGAAAAGAAAACACTCTGAAGACCTTTTGGACAAGTGCTCCAACAGGAACTCGAATCAGCTCTGTGTGTCTGAGGGATTAAGTACTGCATGCACCTGCCTGGCTGCAGTAGCAGCCTAGCCACCTAAAAGCAAATTTAACTAATGATTTCACAAAAATATTCATTTCCAGATATGTAAATACAGGTATCAAACATACCTGTTTATCCAACCCACCCATATGAGGAAGTAGTACCTTTCCCTCTAAGCCTTCTTACATTAAATGCCTTTTTGTCCCCAAGGGTTGCCTTGCCTCTAACAATTGTCACCTCCTTCCACCCCATCCCCCTCACAAAACCTGCAATATGTGCCTTTCAGCAGGTGCATGTTGCACAGCAACATAAAATGGAGTCCAGCCAGCAAATTAGGACTGAAGGCTTCTTCAAAGCTGACTCTTTGACACTGGAACCCTTGATTTATCAGTGGGTGCTGCTGTGCTGTGGAAAGAAAAGAGTTGAGTAGTTTGAAGTTCTTCTATAGTTTCTTTGGTCAAAGGCTTGAAAACTGCTTTGAGCAGATACTCTGAGTATTTGCTCACTAGAAGGCCAGAGATGGTTACAACAGGGATAAAGGTGTGTATTTGGTTTGCTCTTTCCTTATTCAAGCTGAAGCACAGCACGTCCAACTCCTCAAAGGTTTGCTAGTGTTGTGTTGTTGATGATGCTCAGGTAAGTTGTGCTCCAGCTACAACTGTACCCTTCCTATTGTGATACTCAAGACAGTTTGACACATCATTATTGGAAAAAATTATATTTTGGAAGAACTCACTACAGAAGGTGACAGAATTCCAAAAATCAAATTACATGAAAATATACATCGCCATCTTCTTTGTACATTAGGTGAGGAAAACTCTGAAGTAGAAGGCAAAGCAGATGAAGGGCCACAGAAAAGAGTAAAGGAGGGAAACTATTTTTGATACCAAACCCAGAAGTTAGTCATTTGAAAGCCTACAGATGTGCATGCTTGAACTCAACCTTGAGAAAAAACAAGCCTCCCCCCCCACACACCCCACCCCACAAACAGGCAATGAAAAAGGCAAACCAAAAATTTCACCCATAAAAAGCAGCTCATTCCTATCTTGGACTAACTTAGTCAACCAAACTTCCAAGTGAAAGCACTCAAGTCCTTGGAAGTTAAAAATCCATCAGGCTGCTCAAGGGTGCTCCATGGCCAGTTTTATTGCTATACCAAATTCAAGAAGGATGAGTAATTGGGTTTAAAAAAGGGGTGGGAAGAAAAAAAAGCACCTTTGAGACTACAAAGGTCATCGTAAAAGAAGACACAAGTAATTGATAGCAAATCCTTTCAGGGTTTAATTAGGAAAATTGTAAGTTCTGATGGGGGAAATAAAAGGGACCACATTTCCAAAACCAAAAAAAAAAAAAAAAGAAAAAAAAAAAGAAAAAAAAAAAGAAAAAAAGATACTAAACTTGAATAAGCAAGAAATTTTAATTAAGCCTTGGTGGGTCAAAGGAAAATTAAAGTGGGAGGAAAAAAAAACAAAACCAAAAAAACCAACTTAGTATCCTAATTGGTTTTGACATGCTTCACAAGTTGTTGTTTTTTTTTTAACTCAGGAAACAATGAATAGGGAGAGAAAAAACCTGCTAAAATCTTTAGAATTTACACAATTCTATCCCTAACTACAGACAGCATTATTTGGTACAATGTGTATTTGTGGATGTACATGAACAGTATATATATTATCCGGATCATGTTGTGCTATGTACACATCTTTACAATTCTTCCTGAAGGTTAAAGCAGTTCATTAGATTTCAAAATGCGTAATCATCTTGTGTTGGCACTTGTTAGGCTCTTGTCAGCATTGATAACTGGCATGTTTTATTGCAGCCCAGTTCCAGCCAGTGTTTGCCAACTTGTAACAACAGAAGTCCAGCAATAGGTGGGTAGAGTGCAGGAAAAAAAACAGTGCCATGTTTCTCAATTGGAGACCTGCAAAGAAATCACAGGTATTAAAATAAAACCCCTCCTCACCCTCAATTATTTTCAAGATGTTAATTAAGTTTTTCAAGCTCAAGAAGATTAACTATTACTTGTTCAAGAGCTTCACATACCTCTGAACAGAAGATGGATAAATCCAAACTCATCACCTGAGAAAGCCTGGAGTTAGTTGAGCACACTGTGTGTCCAAGCTCAATTATGAGACTTTCTGGCTCCTGTACCTCGTGTTGCTTGTCGAGCGCGCAGCGTGCAAAGCTTGGATTATTCACACACAGGGCTAAACGTGGCAGATTTATCACTGAAAGTCTGTGCATTACTTACTGTGAGAGGCAGGTACAGCAGTGCTCAGCAAGCACTGACACCACAGCCCCCAGTCACACTGGGCTGGTTTGAAACCAGCTGTGGCCCCTTCTCATCCAACTCCCTGCCCAGCGCTCACTTGGGAGGAGTCACCAGACTTAGAAAAGCTTTTGCCTTCCAGAAAAGCAACACAGCCAATTACTTAAAATATTTGTCAAGAGCATTGTTTCACTATAGCTAAGTTCAACATGGCAACAGAGCTGAGGTTAGTTAAGGATACTCTGGAGTGTTACTCACAGTTACTCCCTTTCTCCAAGACAGGAAAAAAAAAGTCAGCAGCATTAACAATTATTGCACTCCAGTTATAGGCAGTACAAGACTTTCTGTTCCTTTGCTTAGTCTTTTGGTCAATATTAAGCATTTTTTATGTTTAATCCATACTGGGGAAAGTTCCTTTCAATCAAAGCATTTTTGCAAAGAGGGACTGCAGAACTAATTTGTCACAGATGGAGCCTTCCCCCAACCCCCCCCTCCATGTTTACAAAAGGGTAAGAAAGGAACTCTCTCCTGTACAACTGTGATTTAAAAAAACTACCCAGCAGAAGAATGTAGTAAGCTGCTCTGGTTCAGTCTGAACTACATACAGTGCCATATTTCTGTCCCTGTGAATTGTGTATGCTGTAGGTAACCAGTAAATGTGGATTTGGGGTTTGCCAGCCAAATGGGTCAGAGCAGTTTATTTGCCAAACCAACCATTAAGAGAAGGCAGCTTCAACATGAAGTTCTGTTTTGCTTTGAAAAGCAAGAGTGGGAAATTATTAGCTCATGGAGGAAGTTTTCCCTTGGCATACCCAAGATAAAGTGACCAAAGGCCAGGGATTTAAGGGCCATGCTTTAATACAGAGCTTACTACAAGAGGTTATTTAAAAAAATGTCCCATTAAAACCGAGATGGGATTGTGTCAATTAGAGTAAGTATCTTGAGCCAGAAGCTCTTTAACAGGGTGGCAAAAAAAATGCAAATATCACATCAGCTCCTCTCAGGTCAAAACTTGTCCAAGCTCTCAGATATGCCACAGTTCAGTTTCCAGGCAGAACACAGCTGGTTTTATGAAGCTTTTCCCAAGCCTTCCTCACTAAAGATGTTTCTTGGGCTGCTGAAGAGAACACCACAGTTCTTGATATTATTAACTGGTAATATCTCAATTTGATGCTTTCTGCTGTGCCAGGAGATTTTCTGTTAAAACTCCCATAGATACCTGAAACAAACCCTTCTCAGTGGCTCCTGGCAACCTCACTGAAGTCTCATTTAACTCCTATGTGCAACATGCCACCAACATCTGCAAGATAATCCACAACTCCTGAGATAACAAGACTTTTAAGATGCTTTTAAGATTCTAGTAAGTATTCTTCACAATAATGAATATCAAGGAATTGTCACCCCCTTCTATTACAGCTCCAGTAACCTCTAAGTGCCATTAATAAAGCAGGATGAATTTTGATAAAGAGAAGTTCAACTTCTGAACAGCATAAAACACAAGAATACAAGAGAAGTTCCCCAATTTTGGCAGAACAGGCTGTCAAGTTCTTTTAGTCTTTAGTACTGCATACAGGAAAAGAGCTCCACTGAGATCATGCAGCTGAGAAGAAAGGTTTGGGAGTTTCTTTTTGCTTTTGAGGGGGAGAAAAATACTTCAGCAACACTTAAGCAGGAAATCCTCAACTCAGGTAACTGACTCATCTTGAGAAGGATACTTACCCTGAAAAAAGTGAAGCTACTAGCTGCTGAATAAGTGTCACTCAAAAGCAGTTTCTTGGCTTTTTCTTACACAGCGGGCAACTTTTCTTTTAAATTCTCCATTTCTGTCTTCTCTCCATTCTTTCTGTAATTGAATAGACAGCTTTCAGATGTCAGTCCTACAACAAGGAGTTGTACAAGCTCTAGGAAGACTCTTGTTGTTCATGTTTTCAGACATTAGCCATCTAGTCAACACCTAAATTTGCTTACAATCATTGAGCTCCTCACTGAAAACCTGTGATATTCAGGACTGTCTAAAGTTTGCTCTGGGTTTCTGTGCCAGCTGCTTACAAGACAGTGAGGATGTAATTTTCCCCTTGGATTTTAGGCACACTCCAAGACTAACCTGGTGGCTTACCAGTATTTCATACTGTCTGTGGTAAAACCTATTTGCTTCAGCCTGCAAAGTAGCAGCAAACTCAACAAGCTGTTGTTATGTGTTCCAGACAGTGTCTTTAACTGTGAAAAGGGTACACAGGTACTGTGAGCCAGCAGGTACTCAGAGATTTTTTAAAAGACAGTTTCAGTTCCCTTCAATCTAGGCAGGACACTCCAGGACAGAAATACAGAAGTCACAGTCTCTAGAAGAGGCCCAGCAGTGTCCTTCGAAAGCAAACACTCCCAGTTAGATATGGCTGTAAGACACTGGCTCTGTGAGAAAGACCTTGGGAGAACACTCAGCTCACCTACAGGCCTGGGCTCTGTGACAGGGATCTGGTTTCAGAGCTGCAGAGATGAAGAGCCAAGATAAAGATGAGCAGGAAGATAGGAAAGAGGGAAGTCTGAACCCAGAGATGCACCCATCAAGGTAGCACAAAAACCTACACGAGAAAGTGCAGCCAGGTTTGTTTTGTGCCAGGCTCACAAGGAGCTCAGATGAGAGCACAGGAGCACCAGGTGTGGTTAAGATTGATGTGCTGGGCACTGCCTTCCAGTCAGAAGTGGTGGGGAAAATATAAAGAACCCCTTATTTCATGAAGTTCTCCAGTTCTTAGTTTCTGACACAAGCAATATATTCTTACTGCAGGGGTGAGGGAAGGGGTTAAAAACCCCCACCTTGTCTCAGCTGATGCAATGTAGCACACAGCACCTTTTCAGCCCCACCTGGAGTGGAGGCTGTGGTACATTTCAGTGATAAATGGCATACCCCAACATCCATCACCTCCAAGCTCACCTAAACAATCAGCATGTTGGAGAGCCCAGCACGTCTTTACTCTTCTATGAAAGCACAAATAAAGCACTAATTAGTTTGTTCTTTTTCAGCAATTCATGCAGCAAACATTTGGTTCCTTGGACTGGGACATAGGACAGCTTACACAAGATGGCTTAAAGCCAAGAAAAGCATTGAATTTGTGCCCTCTGAGCTTCAGAGTCTTAGTTTTTGTTTCTACTTTTTCTATTCATAGTTCTGTGAGTTGTTCAGATTTGAATAGCAAGCAAAGTTTCCAATTTGACAGCTGATTCTCCAAAAATGTAATTTTAGGTCATGAACTGTTCTATTTATTTTTCAAAATATCTATTCAGGTTCCTGATCCTCATTTTTCTCCCACTCCAAGAGACAGTACTCCAACATGCACAGTTCATTTTTCCTGAAAGCAGGTATATCCCCTGCTCCTATAATCCTGTGAATTGCCTGTAACACCTTATCCACTAAACTCACTTAAAAGCAGAAACTACTGACAGCAGACAAAGTATCTTATAGTAACTGCCCAAGTTTATTGCTGTACTAAACACAGGAGCTGCTGATTCTTCATTACCCTGAGTATGGTTTTTTGCTAATATGAAGAGATCTACAATCCAGCAGGAGAACCAACTGCTCCAGCAGCACTTCTAAAGTTCCTTGAAACATGTAATGCCACAGTCAAAAGAAGTTTCTAGTATCCAAAGTGATGCCTCACTATTATCTTCAGCCAAATTTAAGGTTTTTTTGTTCTTTCATGCTGGGCTAGAAAAAGCTGGTTTCACTTTTGACCTTCACCCTAAGGCAAATTCATTTTGTGTCAAACTTTCCTAAGGGAAAAAACCAAAAAAATAAAAAACAACCCACTCCTGAAGTAGCTGTCAGAGTGGGGCACAACACAAAAAGTCTGATGTCAAGAGGGTGACAAGCACAGCAAAAACCATGTGCTTTCTCCAGGCTCAGGCCAGCTACATTCAACATGCATGAGTTTGTGAAGGGAGGAGTTCTAACTGCACTTTTAGCATTTCATTAATAACTTGCTCCTGCTGGTGCTCAGCAGGAAATGTCCATATTTCCTGGGTGTCTGTTTCCACCAGCAACATGACACAAAAAGGGGAGGTCCAACACTTAAAAAGGATAAATGAGGAAATTGTTCACTGCAACTTTTTGTTTGTTTTCTGTTTTCCCATTCAATTTGTTCCACATGAGTCTGTTCCCATAATGATTTTTCAGAGAGCTCAACCACCTTTGAAAATACTCACAACACAGCAGATCAAAGGCTCCAGGAAACTACTGAACTCCCACCCACTTTGGGAAGGTATAGCTTGGCTGACAGAACAGGTTAACATTCCTTCACAAAACTCTGCATCTCACAATTCCCATCTCATTCCTCACTCCCACAGTTAAAAGAGCAGAACTTCTCTTTTATGAGAAGACAATGCTCACTGCTGAACTGCAATTCAGGAGCTTGTCAGTTATGTCAGATGAGCAGGGCCTCAAGTCTGTCCCCCTGTGCCCTTCCAGAACTGAGACCTTTTTTCTCTCCCCAATGCAAACATTTCTCAGTCTCATTCTTATATACTGCTCTAAACACAGCTCTTCTAGAGAGCTGATAGCTGGGTTTATGCACACTCACAGCACAGGCCATGGTCCAGAATTCTGAATCAAATGCTTCCATCTCACACCTGCAGATTCACCCTGGCCTTTGGCTGTAAATCAGACCATTTTCCCTCACTCCTGAGCCAGTCAGTCTAGTCTGGGACAACCCTCCCTGTTGAGTTGAAGGTGAGATGCCCAGTAAAGCCTTTGAGTACCTTCTCAGAGCACAGACCCACACAGTCAGACCCACTGCTCTCATCCATGGGACAGGCAGACTGCTCTAGAGAAGTGAAAGGAACTTCCCAAGGCTAATCAGTACTTCTGTCTGACAACATCACTGCTTTTCCCAGCACAATGGCAGAAAAGCTTCTTCCCAAGTTCCTGTTTGCTAAACCAGAACTGCATGGCAAGGTTTCTACACTGAAGACAACTGGCAGACCAAGGAAAGCCTTACCGCTGCATCAACATTAGCAGGAGAATCACCATTGGGATCTGCCAGCATAGAAATAACACTAATCATGATCGTTTCCACTGTGTGAATGGGAAGCCAGCGTTCCTCAGGTTTTTCATAGCCATATTTGTCTTCTCCAGGCTCGTGAAGAATTGAAATGCAGACATCGCCGTTCTTGTCAACTACAAAATAGAACAAGGCATATTTCAGTCACAAACAACATGCTGGCATTTCTTCAGGACAGTCAGGAACTGCTCATCTTCATTCCAGCTACTCTGAAACACTGTTAGTGGAAACACTTCATAAAGAAGGAAAGTAATGAACTATTGCAGAACTTAAACTGTAATAAACAGGGCTTGGTGGGAGTCTGAATGTGCCTGGACTCCTGACAGAGAGGGCACAAGGGGAGGAAGGGCTCAGTCTAACACCACATTGCACTTCTCAAGAATATTTATTTAGACAGGCTTCCACTACAGCCTTTTCTGTTAAGTTCAGCAAACTCGAGAGTGACTTTTTTCCACAGCAACAGCATCAGCTGGATATTACTGGAACATATTGAAATATGATTTAAACTGCTGGAATTAGAAAGTGCCTGACAAGTACTCTGGTATTTCCAGAGCTGAAACTGACACAGCATTAAAATATTCCCTTGTCCTTTTGATGGGAGCACTGTCTCCTCCCACCTTTCAACATCTACAGTTTCTCAAGTTGAAGAATATTTTTATTTCCCAGTCAAACCATCTTCTGTTTTATTTCACCTTCCCATCCAATCTCCATCAGTCCATAGGTAAATGAGGCATTAGGAGAAGTCTCCTTTAGAGAGACTAAAAGATTTCTTTTCATGCTTCACTAGATGAGGACAACCTTGGGCTTTCTATACTGAGCTGCCAAGTCAGTAACAGCAAGATGAAATCATTGAAGGTATAACAAAAGGCAGCTATAGAAGTCAAGTTTTTCCTCAGACAAGAATTTTGCACTTTGGAAAAAAAATTAAGAAAAAAATTAAGAAAAAAATCCCTGAACAATTACCAAGAATGCAAGAACCTACTCAGAATAGCTTCTGAAAATACTTTACAAGTATTTTATGCTCTCAGAGTAGCACTATTAAAAACTCTGCCATTGTTATTACTTCTCTATTAAACGAGGATGGCAAAGTAAAAGCAGAGTTTCATATTTCTAACATGAACAGAAATGTATTTTATTTGTCTTCACTTTCTGCATTTTAGTTCTGAACTGCAAAAAGTAATTGAAACTTTGACATTTCTTACCATTCGGATGCCAGATTTCTGTGATGAATTTCATTTTTGGCGGCCTCAGTGGGTAGTCTTTTGGAAAAGTAAGATGAGCCTTGAAAACACCACCTTCACTGGGGAATCAAAAATATCTTAGTAGAGTTTCTTGTAAGCTTAAGCTGAAGACTGGAACTTACTGATGTTCTAAGTTTACACCTCACACAACTTAACATCATGTTGGTAATTAACAGTATCAACACTTCCATATGCAATCTAAGGAGTTTCTACATTCAGAAGATCCTTTCACAAGATACTGCCAGTTCCCCAATGTGATCTTTTTTTAGAACTGGGAAGATGTTCCAGAGGGGAAAAACCATGGGGGTGGGAAGGGGGAGGGAAAAAAAAAAACCAACCAAAAAACTGCCAAGGAATTCACCATCTGGAATCACAACTTATATTTTTTTCCTCACAGTACATTTATTAACAGGAAAAAAAAGGTATTGCCAATAACTGCCTTTCTCACGTCCAGCCCAGCAGACTCCCATTTTCCTCTGCTAGAGGCCTCAGTCTGCAGCAGTGAGCCCCAGGGAAAAAATGCAGAAAGCTCTGGCTGTGGGTAGAGTTTATTTAATGTATTAATTTAATATAAAAAGACTTCCAATGCCACCTTTTCAACACTAAACTGAAGTGACTCAGGCATGACAGTGAGGTGTCCTGCATTAGTTACCCACTCAACTGGAAAACAATAATAAACAAGAAGCATCCTGGTTTTATGTGGAGTTACAGGCCAGGAATACTGCCTTTTGAAAAGGTGAAGGTCTGTATTAGATGGAAAGGTTTACAGATGGAATACTTTGCTAATGTCAATAATATTTGCCCTGCTACTGTCATTTCTTCTAACTGAAGGTTGTAACAAAATTTGGAATTGCAAAGGCAGAGCAGAAAGTGGAACATGAACCCCCAAAGATGGCATGAGATGCATGGAGTGACAAGCTACCCCTCAGCAGCCACACACACACACTAAACAAGTGGTGAACAGAAAACTGTTCAGTGTGATTTTTTTCCTGTATTTGTAAAGGAGTAGGAATCTCTAAAGTGCACTGGCTACTGAGAAAAATAACATGTTTTACCATCATTATTAACCTAAGGGGTGCAGCTCCAGCAAGTGTCTCAAAAAAAAAAAACCAAAACAACCCCCCAAAGAAACAAACAACAAAAAAATAAACAACCCCAAAAAGCAGTGTCTTTAAGTAACTTGGCTCTTTGAAGCAGCTGAGGGGATCTGAACCCACAGCATTTATTTTTCACAGGTTTTAGAAATGGCAGGCAGTTTCCAAAGAATCCTTCATCCCAGGAGAGGTGAGAATTCCAGAAGCACTGTTTAAACATCCATAATGTGAACACAAAGGAGAGCTGGATTGCATTTGTTGATAGCCCCAAACCAGTCAAAGCCTTTCTTTCAAACTGAAAAAGTCCTTCCTTCCCTTTTTAAAGAAGCAGATCCTAAAGCTACTGGGCTGTAGGGCATCCCTGGTTGCCCCATATCAACTGCATATAAATACATGTTTTAAAGTGGATACACATTAGATATCAGTTAATGAAATACAGCTGTCAATTAAGGGAGATCAATGCCATTTTTAGCAATATTCCTTAGAAAAGGGTTTCTGTCAGTAGAGTAATGCACTAAGTCTAAAGTTTATTCAAGTAAACTCAGAATAAATGAAGTGGTACCAGGAATGAGAGTGATGTTTGAAAATTGTTTAAATTAAACTATTATATATGACCATCCTCATGAAACAGCCCAGGGAAGAAGGGCTCAACCCTGAAAAACAATAACCAAGGACTGGAACAGAAGTTTCTTACCTAAAAGCCTCAAAAAAAGTTCAGGATTCAAAAGTGGAGTTTAAAAAACCACTATTGCAACTTTCAACACCTAAGATGACAATCAATTAAAAGCAGCATTTATTTCTTGACAATATTTATAAAATAGCCATGAGAATATAACATGTTCAGAAAAGGTCAATAGAAGTTGGAGAAACCATCTCATGCAAGACATGAGAACCACAGTGCAGTGAGCTTGAGGAAAAGCCAAGCAATTTGATAACTGGGTTTAAATATTCACTCCAAGTCTGCTGACAGACAGACAGACAGAACTTCATGCTGCAACCAAAAGTGACTCCAGTGAACGTCACTAGGCTTTTTGTATCAGTAATTTACCACTGCAACAGCTCCGTGAGGAGAACAGAGGGCATCTGCAGGAGTGCACCTTAAACTGACCTCTCGTGGGCACAGAACCTTTCCCAGAAACTGGAGCAGGCATCACCCCAAAGTACTCCAGGGCACACCTGGAAGTTCTCCCATCTCCATCTGACAGGATTTGGAGCCAATTCTGTGGACTGCTGAGGTTTCCTCCAACTACATCCCACTGAATGGAATATTCTCCTACCACCATGGTTTAACGTGGCACTATCAGCTGAGCTACAGCCTCCCAGCAGCACCAGCAAACAGGGGATTTTATCTGCCTTACCTACATGTGAAAGAAAACAGAAGCTGCCTCTAAGTGCACCTTTTGTCTTTCTTTTCCATACAAGTACAAAGAGATCAGTGTTGCATTTTCCCAGGGGAGCAAAGCAGTTTAGAACTTCCACATAGCAAATCCAGCTATTTACAGGTACTCTGCTAGCAACAGAGGAGCATTACCTGATTTAGCACAAGGTTTTGGTTGGCTTCAATTCACTAGGAGCAAGCTAGAACTAGTAAACCCGAGTTCATTCAAGTTTCTGTACAAGTATCAGTACTTACTATAGTGTATCTGGAGGACCAATAATAAGGACTTCCCATCGATAAAGATCATTGTCATCTATTAAGCCCGCTGAAAAGCCTTCCACTGGATTTTTGTTGAGCTCTGTGTAGGAAAAAGAATTTAAGAGAACTTTAGGTGTCTATAATACACATTTGCTGGTTTAGCTCCTGTGCCCATACAGCACCAAAAACCCCCATGACATTTGGTGCTTTATCATGGCCTGAGTGAGTGCCCTCAGCTCCCCCAGCTCCCCACTTCTGTCAGAGCTGGGACCATGTCTGACCCTAAAATTCTGTGTAACGTGAGCACAAGGGCCAGAACAACACCCAGCTATGGGGCATGGTATCCTAAACTAGATACCAATGAGTGTTTAAGTTAGGAAACTTCTAATAATATAGGCTAATAATAATATATCTAATAATAACTTCTAATAAGTCAGGCTTTCTAACAATACAAGAGCTTTACAAGAACCCCAAGGAGCCAGCTTAACTAATGTCTGTCTTTAACTCTAGAAAATTTTAACAACAGACCAAAGTCACATTATGTTTTTATTTAAAAGCAACATTCTACTTTGTTTAAATGATTTTTCTTTCAGACTCTGAAAGCATTTGAGACCTGTGCCAGTGAATTCTGGAGAGAATGATTTACTATACTCTGAACTAGTACAAGAGGACATGGAAGATAAGCTGCTGTGCTGTTCAGATATAGAGTTGTGTGTCTTTATTTCTTCCTTTTATTCACAGTTCTTTTCCACAGTGACAAGCTGTAGAGCATTCTAAGTGTACAGGCTACTTCATAGAGTCACTGCCAGATAGAGGCTTCACTGGGAATAGCTACACACAAATTAACTCATAGCCAGGTCTAGACTCCACTGAACTTCTGTTATCAGCCTGCTCCAGGAAAAAAAACCTCTAAGATCTGGAATTAAACCCTCCAATGAGTTTTGTCTATAATCCAGTGGTGGGGGTAGGAAGGTGAGAACATCTATTAACTGACAGCTTCAAGTCAGAAATCACATTAAATGCCATATTTATGAGAAATTCAAATTCTTCATCCAGCATTTCCAACAGTACACACAAAGTCCTGATAGATCTTGGGTACTTAGGATACAGGAAGGGGGAAGTTACTCCTTCAATGGGTCAATAATTTGCAGATTAAATTAAGAATGGTAGCTATTGTGGAAAAAATACCAAAAAAGCCAACCAACCATACTTATTTTAACCTGTCAGACTCTCATTATTCTGTTCCACAGCACAGCTTGTCCACATATTCCCATTTTGCAAACCTAAAAAAGACTTAAGAGGGCCTTCTAATGCCCTCAGGCACATGCAGAGGAACTTCAAGTGAGAACCTTGTACCTTTCTGGAGAAAAAGCTGCCATGAAATCCAAACTGATTTGCTCATAAGCTTGCAATCATTGCTGACCAGTTAAGTTGTGAACTATTTAAAGTGTGGCTGAAAAAGGCAGGAAGAATCAATTCAAGCCCTACACAGAGGAGTCTAAGTCCACCCAGGGTAAACAAAGTGCTGAGCTCACGTGAAGGAGCCAAGGTCCTGAAGAGGGAGAGAGCAGGAACATCAACTTTGGTCATTACTAATTCAGTCAAACTTATCCACAAGGATGGCTCAATTCAAAATCCCAAGGGACACATGAAAAGGGGTTTTCCTAGGAGCTCCTCAGAAGGGTGTGATCAGGAGGTAGGGTCAGGCACCCAGCCCCAAGGTGCAGGACAAAGTTCTGGGTAAAAAGAAAGAAAAGTAACATCACAGGCTCTCTAAGCAAGATGCAAACCTCAGACCCAAAGGCTACAGCACGGCCATGCCTCCTCTAAGCAAATCAGTTTTCAGACTCGGGTATTTATGAAACTTTGTGGAAACAGCTGCACAAGTTTGGGTAAGTTTTTAATCTTAGCTGGAAGGGCAGATAGCCTAGGTGAGCATCTCACTTTAAAAGAGTCTCACCACTCTCTTACTACCTCTTTAATACAACCATTTCTTCAGCATGGTCTATTAAAAGTTCCACCACCTCAGTAGTTGAACATAACCTGCTTTTTCAGGCAGGATTTCATTAAAAAATTGCCTATTGCTTGTGAAAAAAACATCTCTGCTCAGGACATGTACATCATCCTTTCAGATATTATTAATGCTGTAATACAGAATACCCACTGTAGTAACTACAGAAGTCAGTAAAACCTATTATTTGAATTCTATCTAACCTAAGACTTTCAAACTTGAATTTAAGCCTGTGAAACACAAGTGCCATCATTTCTGCATTTCCACAGAGAAAAAAGGATTTGTGCAGAGTTGTGTGTGAACTGCTGTAACTCAAACTGCTCACATTCAGCTTCTTTATTGTTTGCAAGTTATCACTGCTCACTGATAAGACTTTAAAGACTGCCAGAACTTAAGACTAAAAAAAATCAGAATGTTTCTCTCTATTTAAAATGCCACATTATTTCCAAAGCCAATATACAGATTTTCTTCTCTATTTCTTAACATGTACTGTTTCAATTTCTTTCTACATCTGTCTCAGCCTCAAACAACTTTATCCCTAAGTAGTTCAGAACATTTTTTGTGTATTTATTCCCAAAGAGAGACTGCTCTTGCACTCTGACTCTCACCTAGGACCATGTAGCACTACACTGGCAAGAGAACCTGGGAGAAGGAGCAAGATTCCTGGATGCCAAGTCCTTTAATGTAGAACATCTGTAAACTGTATGAAAGGGACAATCATTGACAAAAATCTTCAGTTACAGCAGCTAAAGAAGATTGCTTAGTGGATGTTGCCTATAAAGCAAATGAGCACATCACAGGAGGTGCCATCAGTCTCAGCTTGTGAAAAGGTTCTTTTCCTTCCATGACAGCAGTATTGAAGCACAGCTCAAGCAGCTGCTGATTGCAGAAACACTCTTAGAAAAACAATGAATATAAGCTCATGCACCTTCTCCACGAGAGGTATGCAGAGTTACCATCAGCAATTTAAAAATGAGCTTTTCCATCCCGATTATTTATGTTAAACTAAACAACACGGCTGGCAGGCAGACAAAAAAGGAAGTCTCAGGAAAGTTCTGCACTGAGACACGAAAAGCATCATCCTTGGCTGCTTTACCCTGCCAGTAGCTGCTACTCATTAAAACCTGCAAACACCAAGGCCCAGTGTTTGTTTGGCTCTGTTTTTTTTCCCTGGATATAGTGAGTGCTGTGTAGCAGAAAAGTTAAGCAGCAGTACCACCTGTCTCTGGCCTCTCTCTGCACTGGCTGAGGCTCCCACAGCACTGAAATCCCCCCACCAAAAGCAGCGATGCAGGCAGGGCACAAAAGGACCTCACAGACACAGCTCAGCGACACAGGGGCTGCTGCCAGGCCGGTGTCACTGCCCCGGGCGAGTGACACTGAGGGAGTGACACCAAACCCGCAGCCAGGGCAGGACGGGACACCTGCTCCCTGTGCCTGCCAGTGCCCAGCAGGCACAGCATTAACTGCTTGCAGCCTGGACTGAGCTTCCCCAGACAAACGTGGGGGAAGCAGAGGACTCGGCTCCTTCTCCAGGAGGGGAGAGGGGAAGCAGCTCTCAGTGCAGGGCCCCTACAAAGCCCTGAAGAGCTGCAAAAGCAGAGAAGCCAGGCACATGTGAAGAATTGGATCCTTACACATTATTTTTCCAATAGCTTTACTTTGAGATTTTTTTTTCAGCTAAAGATATGCTGTGCTTTTTAAACATGAATGAGTATATTAACGTATTTCCATTATGTCCATACCTAACTAAATGCCATTTACTTGCAACTGCTATATATTACAGTCTGTTGTTCAGCATTTCCGACAATATTTTTTGCATTTCTGATTATTTAATAGGCATTTTTCTACTCAGCAAAATAAAACAAAAATCCAAAACATTCACTCAGTGTGGAAGCAGTTTCAGGTAGAGCCCTTTGCAGACCAAGCAGCAGCTGACAGCCAAAGCAGCACACACCTGGACAGCTGCCAAGCAGCAACATACTTGGAACAGAATCCAGTGTCTGCTTATAAATTAGACATTCAGTTCCTTTAATCCCAGTCCTGAACCTGGAATTAAATCCAATACCTGATTTGGGAGGTGAGGAAGACTAAAGGCCCATAATCCAAGAGAGTTGTTTAAATCCAGAACAGCTTCTCAAGCCCCATGGCTCCCTTTGCACATGATCTGCCACACAACACAGTCTCTCCCTTTAGCTCTTACTAAAGCAGAACTAAGTTACCATTGCCTTAAACTTGAGCCAACACAGTACCATGGGCTGCACTTCCAGTTTCAGTGTTTAGTTTACATCAAGCTACTGATGTTCCCACACTCACTGAAACTGCCTTTATATAAGCCCAGAGACTTCACCAATCCCAGAGCAAAACAGCATCAACAGAAATGACTAAGCAGAAGGAGGCCCACAGCTCCCTAGAACAGCTATGTAAGGCATCCAAACTTTTCAGCCTGACACCCAGACAGCCACTGCAGATCAACTCTTCCAGTATTTGAGCTACATTACAGTACAGAGCTTCAAAAATAGGAGTTCCTAGAGTTTTTTAACAGCAGCCTCTTTAGTAAGTTACACAGTGTGTGAGTTTTGTGCAGCCAGTGAACAGAGTACAACACAAAACCAGACTAGGGAGCCCAAGTCCTGGCTAAGGTGTCTGGATAAACCATCCAGCTGGCTCACACAGCTCTCAGAGCAAGCAGGCTATTCTAACACTTTATATCTGCTGCACCTTCCACTATTCTAACACTTTATACCTGCTGCACCTTCCACTATTCTAACACTTTATACCTGCTGCACCTTCCACTATTCTAACACTTTATACCTGCTGCACCTTCCACTATTCTAACACTTTATACCTGCTGCACCTTCGACTTGTGCTGTCTCAGCACCAGTCCAGGAGCTTCCAACAACTGTTCACACTGAAAATCCTCATTCTAGACTCTTCTTCTCTGTATCCCACACTGTGACTTCCCTATAGCCCTATTACTTCACTGAGGTCACTTACAATTTCCAAAACTTTCCTCCACGCAGGGCCCAGCTGTACATCTCAGATTCTAGAGAACCAGGGCTGAGATTATGATAAAGTAACATGATCTC